GGAGAAGGAGAAGGAGAAGGAGAAGGAGAAGGAGAAGGAGAAGGAGAAGGAGAAGAGGAAGAAGATACACTTAGCCATTTCTCCTAACAGCGAGAAGGTGAAATCAAAATACAACATAAGGAATGTTCTGATTTTGGTTTATATAACTTTAAACTGTTTAGGACTTTTAACATGCTACTTAAAAAAAAAAACTTTTTACAGAACTGCGGGGGTGAGGGGTGGGGGTGAAACTATTTTAAGTACTTAATCCACCACTGAAATGTTTGCCAGCCATGTAACCATGTGCCAGACACACTGAAACTGTCATATCTGATGAAAACATGAAAATATGCTGTTCTTGGCAGCAACTAAATTATTCAAGTATCGCTGTCCCCAGAATTAACTCATTTCTTCAACTTATGCACTTGTGTGGATCAGCAAAGTATCCTAAAACAATTTAACATTAAGATGGTTGCTTAGCAATATTGGTACAGTAACTAAAAATATTGATGCAATCAGTATGTGTTTGTGAAAAAGGAATGTGGAATCACCTAATGTGGAATTGAACAGATAGGATAAAATTTGGACCTGCACCGGGACATGCTGGTATAAAAGACTTTGAACGCTTCTCATCTTCACGACGAGAAGAAAGCAGCTGTCACACAAATGCTTCCTAGACCCCTAAAGTAAGCAACTGAACATCCTAATAAGAGTTTTCTGTTCTCCATACAAACTGTGGGCTTTCCCCCCTCTTCTGCTGGCTATCTACCCATACTTTAATCAGCAGAAAACAATGCCAGCATGAAATTTGCTATTTCCCATTGCTTCTATTGTCTCTGTTGCTATTATTGCCAGTTGTCTGAATATGCCTCTGTTCCCACTCACTGTGGAAGGGTGCAGATTTATGCATGCACAGTGCATAGATGCCAAAGCAGTTGGTTGGGTCTTTCAGCTTTGCTGCCCTCCTTCTTCTGTATATCGCTAGCTGGTGTGGGGAAAAAAATCACCAGTCACCAATCATGGCACTGCAGCGGGTCTATGAGTCACAAGCAGCACTTTTACTTCTATTTTCTTTCTTCTTCCTTTCCTTTCTTTATGTAGGCAACAAAAGCTGACTTTCAGATTCCTCCATGCTCTATTAAGGAGACGATGGGAAGCGGGTTGTTCCCATAATTCCATTGTTATAATATTTCAGCCTTGTCCTAAACTGGTAAGGGCTACAGAGCTAAAGTGCTCACAATACTGCTAGCTGAGCAACCTACTATTATTTTGTAACTCTGATAGTCTGTCATTTAAATTGCTGACTGCCAGTTACTTCCACCATGCCATAAAGGATGCAAAATGACAACCATCATGGGTCATTTTGTGCTATCCAAGTAGTCATGAGCTTGTAGCAGGGAAACATTTGCATGCAGCTAGAGCTGAGTTGCCAGAGGAATGCAAAAAGAGCCCTTGTGCTAGGAAGTTAATCTTTACTTCTCTTGTGCAAAGCCGAAGGAGGATTCTCACAGTAGTGCGGTATCAAGCTCTTTATGCAGACAACAGCAGAATTATGGCAGACAGGATTAACTGAAAGAGAAAGGGTATGTTCATATTAGCCTGAAACTACCAGTGTTCCTCTCAGATTCAACCACGATTGGCCCTGGCCTTGCTTCCAACATAATGGGTGACAAAGTTTAACAGATTTACAATCCTGGTGGTTGCTGATGGGTACACAGAAGAACATACTTTAACACTGACTGGGCTAAGGACAGCTTAAGGCTGGTCTGCTCATGTGCTGGGGATGAGATGAGGAAAGACCACAGCACAGTGATATACCCAAAAAAGGATGTTGCCAGAGCATCTTGATTAAGAGCTAGTGGTGACACAGCCTATGTAGAAGTGAGCTTCTAAGCACTATCCCGTCATGAAACAAGAAGGCCCAACTCTCCTAACAGCAAAGGTTTGTCTACTTGACTCTTTTTTTCAAAGCACTAGCTTTATTTTGTATAGCAAATATTTATTTTGTTTTTGTGTGCGTGTTTTTAATTAATTCCCTTTGGAGAAGAATTAGGTGAGGTAAGTAGAGGCTACATATTAGAATGGCAACTGGCCCATCAAACAACAGTTGAGGCCACCATAGGCAAGACTGTACTGATTTCAGAGCCTCCCCAACTTTGCTCAGCCTGCTTCTGAAAGAGCTTGATTCAGTCTGTGAGAAAAACTTATTTGGCATTTCTGTGAACCATTCTACCTCAGCTCGTGTGTTGGTTTGTCTAGAAACATACATGGCCACCTGTCTTACATAAGATAACCCTAGGCAGCTCATGATCTGATGCCCAAACGATTAAAAACAAAAAAGTTCTTTTCATTTAAAACATGAAATTATGTAGACTGCCCCTTGAAAAGTCAGTTAATTGTAAACATTCCCAACTGGCCCAGTGAGAAAGGGTTTTAGCTCTTAGGAGATTCAAGATAAATTTTAGTAAGATCATAAAAAAAGGTCTAGGTCATATTTCACAGTTGTTGAATAACAAGCTGGGAAACTACCGTAACAGAATGTAACGAGTGTGCTAGGAAATGATCCAGAATGGAATCCTTAGTTTACTCTCAGAAACTGGGAAGATCTGGGGAGAGAGGTTTTGAATCCTTGGGTCAGCCGTTGGTTGACCTTGGAGAGAGTTGCAGGTGCACGCACCCACCCACCAGTTGTTCAGCGGGTTGGGGGAACTGTGCAATAACGTGGGAGGGCTGGCTCTGTCGAGCCTGCCTCTCTCAGCATGGAGCCACTGGGTTTTCAGAGCGCCAGCTCTCCCACTTTACCACCCCGCTACACCATCCTGCCCAACAGCTCTTTGGGGAGCATCTTTCGAACCAGCTATTCACGCATGCTGCCTCGTTTTTGCTTTCAAAAGTGTTGCATGTGTTATGCTTAAACGTTGATTTGGTTGTTCCCTGCTTTATTTATATACATATACATACACACATACATATATACCTATATAAAATTAACCCCCGCCCCCAAGGAGCAGCCATAAGCACTGTGCAAAGCTCTTTCACTCAAAGCCAAAGCCTCCCTTGAGATTGAATTAAGACAGAAAAGTCCCCCATGTGGTAGTGGTTCTATTTCTGCTGCTCATGCATACAGTCTTGAAATCAAAGGTGTGTTGTAAGAAGAAAAAGGGATAAACTCATGAACATCAGTATTGGAGGAAAACTGTATTCTGTAATATATAAACATGTTTTATGCAAATATATTAAAATCTTGAAAGGACCTGAGATTGGTCATAAATAAATAAATAAATAAATAAATCTGGGTTTTTTTTGCTGTTTTCTTTGTAGACTCTAGATGGCAGTGTCACTTTAGCAAACTTCCAGATAAATGGATGGAGGGAGGGAGGGGTAAATAGGTAGTCAACAGTTGAGGTGCTCTATAACTAGCTCACGTAGAATGAATGGGACCAGCCTAGTGCCCATTGGCCACTTCAGACTGGTGTGGTGAAACTGGTCCCTCCCCTCAGGTCTTTTGCACTGTCAATCTTGTTCCTTTTTCTCCTTCTGGGAGAAATCTTCAGCCATTGCTGTACAGTAGCTATTCAGTGGGGCGGGGGAGCTGCTAGGCTTTGAGCAGGGTTTTCGTGCTCTTTCAAGACACTGCACTTTCACAAGACTGCAAGCATGTGGGGTTTTGAAAAAGGACTAAACTTACACTAAAATAAGCCCACCCACCAGTTGTTCAGCGGGTTGGGGGAGCTGTGCAATAACGTGGGAGGGCTGGCTTTGTCGAGCCTGCCTCTCTCAGCATGGAGCCACTGGGTTTTCAGAGCGCCAGCTCTCCCACTTTACCACCCTGCTACACCATCCTGCCCAACAGCTCATTGGGGAGCATCTTTCGAACCAGCATTAAGCCAGAGGTAAAGCAAGGGAACTCATTCCCTCAAAACCGGGCCACCTGTATGAGTGGGCCCTCCCACTTTGCCTACTTTATTACACAGTTTCCCCAGCCCATCAGACAGCTGGTGGGATTTGAACATGGATTTAGAATGTTGAGGTTTATCATGAATTATCATTTGCCTTTTAATTATTTATTTTATTTTTAATTTAATTGTTTTAAAAGATGAGCCTTTGAAGTCCTAAACGAAATTACTTTATTGAAAGAGGTGAGCTTTCAAAGATAATTATTTCTGCTTATAGAACTGTGGATTACAAACGGGAGAATAACAAGTGGGTTCTGCAAAGAAATGGTGCTGTTTAATGTTCCAGCTACTAAATTTAATTCCTTTTCTCCACTGTTTTCCATTCATGAGCACCATTCAGCATTCCACCCCTGCCAATACTCAGCCAGCTTTCTATGGTCCACTGACCATGCTCCATCCTCACTGGGTCCCCTTCTTCCAGCTTTCTTCACTCAGAAGATTTCCCTGTACAATGCTTTTCACTAGATCATTTGTGAGGTATAGCAATAAAGAAACAAGTAAATGAGAAGAGAGCAGATTTTTGTAAAGCAGATCTGGCTGGTGCTACTAATACAGGTACTCCTTGTTTAGCAACCCCAATTGGGACTGGCAACTCGGTTGTTAAGCAAAGTGGTCGCTAACTGAAAAATCACATGACCACAACTGTGCTTACAATCTTACTTCAGCTTTCCTTTGATTTACAGACCTGCAAAGGAGGTAAATGCGGGCATTGGTCACAAATGCAAATGGTCACTGCAAATGTAACTGCAAATGGTCACTGTCTGAGGCAGTCACTAAGCAAGGACTACCTGTAAAGAATTCAGAGGCTAAAGGTTTGCTCGATTAATTTTTTATAGTTTTGTAACAATACTAATACATGTAACGTATTTAAAAGCCATAATAGCATTATTATAAAAGTGATATTATTCACTAAGGAAGAACAAGCTGAACAAATGTATGCAGTAATATATGGAATCAAGAGGCTTCTATTCTCTCTAGCCTGTAAAAACTATCCAAACTGCACCTAAATATGCCAAGAAGGTAGTACTTGCTACCACACAGAGAGATTGGCTTAAAGAGTGAAAAGGTTGAAGTAAAAACGTTTAAATATACAGGGAGCTATCATCACCTCTGCAACTGATAGATACCTAAACAAACGGCATTTTACCAGTTTTTTTCTACTTCCTGGATCTCTGAATTCTGCACTAACCATCCATACCCCAGCAGAACATGTATGGTCGTATCTTGGCATGCAATTATTGTATTGCAAACTACTGTTTTGTGTGAAAATCTGTAGATCAGGACATTAATCCAACAATAGCCTTGGGAAAGGGACGGAAATGAACAAGACTTTTCTGACCCTCCTAAGCTTGCACAAAAGGGGGAAAAAAACATATAGGGGAATACCAAGCAGTTATCCCAAATCAGTCTGGAATGGTGGAAGTAAAGAGGGAGCAATCATCTCTGCAAAATCCAGCAGGCATAACTGAGGATCTTTTAAATTTGATTTCTGTGAAGAAATTGGTTGCACATCCTCTCCCTCAATGGACTATTGTATATCCAAGTTTCACATTTTCAAGGAGGATCTATCTCACAGTTTAAGAAACAGTAGGCTTACTGAACCTTGTCCTAAACCAACAGAAATCTACTCATAGGTTTTGTTTGGCCAGTCCTGGCAGTTCTCATATAAATGATGTTCTTCCTTCTTTTCCTTTAGCATTCCAACTGCAGAATCTTCTGCTGGCCTCCATTCTTTTCTCCTTTCTCTGGCAAAGCATCCACAATTCTATCCAATGCTTGGAAGTTCAGGGAACACATCTAAAATTAATAGTGGTAGAAGAAATTGTAGTTACATTCTGTCTTCTGTTCTAGTAACAACTTTATCAGTTGTTCTTCAGGGAAAAAGGGTAATTACAAGAAACTCTATTATGTTCACTGCATTTTAATCAAGTTGTTTTCAGATGATTGGTTTCCCACCGAAAATTAAGAAGAAAAGGGAGAGGGGTTGTGACTTACCCTTCGTCTCAGGTAGATCAAGGCTATGATGGAGAGTAAAACAACAAGGAGAAAGAGTAACAGACCAAATATTATCTCAGTTGGGACTGGCGGCAAGCTGGCAATCTGGGGACTGGCTGCAAAACAAAACCACAACTAAATAAAGCCACAATGGGGAAAAAAATCAGAGAGGATCAGAAAATGGCTAACTCAAAAATCAATCTTTAGCTTAGCTCGAGACAGAGAACAATTAAAAGAGAGTTGCATGAAGCAGCCATGGATCCTCAAAGTTGACAGGCTAATTTTTCCATTCAACTATCATCTTTGGCCAACTTTCTAAAAACGGAAGCACTATAAAACCTGGGCAGTTAAAACAATATAGCGGGGTCATTATGCATGCATATCACATGGAAAATCAATTATCTGATGTCTGTAGCAAAATGGCAGCTTATGGAGGAGATGTAAACAAAGCCATTCAGAACTGAACAGCATACACATTGTAGGAAGTAAATAAACAGTATACTAGTGAGAGCAAAGTTATTTTTTTTAATCAGATGGCAGCGCTCATAATGCTTGGTTGGATTAAACAATAAAACACAGAAGGAATTGGGAAGCACCATGTGTGTCAAGATAAAAGTTCTGTCTCCTATTTACTTAGCAACAAATCCCACCATATTGCACAGATTGTATTTATTTATTTATTATTTATTAAATCAATTTATATAGCCACCCATCTCACCACAGGCAACTCTGGGCAGCATACAACAAAGCTAAAAACAGTAAGATACATTAAAAATATATAAAACAAAATAAAAGAGAGAATAAAAGGAAGTAAAAAATAAGGGAGCCACCTCACTAATTCCCCCATCCCCTTGATTTTAAAAAATGAAGTAAGAAATACAATCAAATAATTTTAAGCCTCCACCTGGTAAATTAAGAGAATAGGGTGGAACTCTCAGTCACAAACACTATAGCAGCTTTATCACCATAGTTATGCTCTTTAATACCCCCAAATGCAAATTGGGGTTCCTGATCACAAAATTATCTGGATCCATTCCAGGCATCCTTTACGCCTGCTTTGGTTGCCTTTATGAATGCTGAGAGACTGGTTAATCCTTCTGGGCCTCTCTGAAGCTTTCAATCCCTTTAATCATCATACTTTTCTGAGTAGACCAGTGTTTCTCAACCTTGCCAACTTTAAGATGTGTGGACTTCAACTCCCAGGATTCCCCAGCCAGCATGCTAGCTGGGGAATTCTGGGAGTTGAAGTCCTCTCATCTTAAAGTTGCTAAGGTTGAGAAACACTGGAGTAGACTATCTGAATTTTATGATGCCACCATTCCAATCTAGAAGCCCATAGCTTTACTGAGGCCCCACAAGGTTTAGCCTATCTGTACTTTTCAGTCTCTACATCAAATGTCTGAGCGAGATCACCCAGAGATTTGAAATGATATGCAATTAATAATCAGATGACACCCACCCCTTCCTCTTAAATCGAATGCAAGGAAAACCACCTATAAAAACTGTCTTGAGCAGTTAACGGACCGTGTAACCAACTATGGCTTGAACCAAGTACATTGGAGGTGTCTGCTGAGTAAATGGTGTTCAGCCTATTTGGGACAACACTCTCTCTCTCAAGTTGCTGTTTGGGCCCGTTGTTGGAACCATCTCTAGTAGTGTAGTATGTCGTCTTCCCACCCTGGGATGGAGCCGGGGTTCTCAAACTGCAATGCTGTGACCCCCTAAAATGAGACAGGAATGTGTGTGACACTTCCTCCCCCCAAACAAAAATAATGGTTTCATTGGGGTTTGAGTTGTGCAAGAAGTAAATGGATCACCTAATTTTAATAATGACATTGTCATCTACAATCTCGGGCCACCAGATGCTGCTGAACTGCAACCCCCGACAGTTTTAGCCAGGCTGACCAAGGGTGAGGGATGCCAGTCAGAAGGGCTGAAGGCAGCCCACTGATTGCAGAGAGACCATCCTTCAAAAGGGAGCTCCAAC